AATTCAAAATTTGTACTGTTTTTAATTCTGCTGAAAAACTTCTTCAATAAAAATTATTAAGAAAAAAGGGTGGGGGCCTAAGGCATTGGGGCAGGGGTTGCTGCTTCAGAGCCCCATCAGATGACATTTTTCAGGATTAGACAGCCTATAAACGGCAGAAATAAATGTGGGTCAGGAAATGTCTGATAAAATCTTTGCCCGGGTTTAGGCCCATCTAACAACAGGATTGGATGGAGACAGAATGAATTCTGGGCAATGAGCCAGCTGCTTTTCATCTCGACCTCCCCACTGTAGTTGATGTCTTCATCCTATGACATCTTCTTGAAAAGTTTAGCTGCAGGAATAGGTCTGTACTCTATGTAGCCCTTTTAGTATCATAAGGACTTAAACTCCTTTCTAGCACTTCGCATATCTACTGTATTTTGCCTTGTTGGTTCTTAATCTCCTTGGGACTTGATAAGTTTAGTTTTGTATAAAGCATTGGTCAATGACCACAATAAACTTGAACACATGATGACACTTTTTGGAACTGGGTGGCATATAGATGGCAGAAATAAGTAGAAATTTAAAAACCTACTTGTGAACAACTTCTGATAAAATGTCAGCCTGTGGAATCTATCTGTGGAATCACCCACCTTCCCGAGTGGAGATGGTGGCTTCTGCACAAGAAGCACAGTCGTAGCAGCAAATCAGGTCTCCTTCCCGAGATATCTTGAAGAATCCTGGTGGGCAACTCTCCACACACTTGGACTTGGGCAGGGGCTAAATAGGACGTCAAGGAGAATTGAGGACAAAGAGCAAATACATTGACAAACCACGACATCACATTGAAGAAACCCAACAACATCTGTGGCACCAGATCTGAAGCTGAGTATCTGTATCTCCTTGTTAACTCCTTCTCCACCACTCTTGGTTCTGAAGTGGTCAGTTTTTGGGGCAGGAACCTCTCTCTTTCTACTGTTCAAGTGCCATGCACACTGGTAGTCTCCACAAAATAATACACAATCAGGTGGAAAGGCATTAAAAATACTCAAGATTTGGCTGCAAGTGTGTGACTGAAACCCCACCCCTTTTTTGCACGTAAAAACGCACCTTGATTTTCTTCTCAACTATCATTTTTCCTCCTCCTTTCAAATGTAACTTGCATCATCTCCACAAAGAATATTTAACAACAGTACCTGGGAGTGGGGGGAGTATTAACAAAAAATGAAGATTGTGGCAAAGGCAGTGTGACTGAAGCTCCACCCCCTTTTTATGGGTGTCATGCAACACTTGTGAAAAATATACAGGGCTTCAATCATGCATAATTTCACTCCCCATTTAATGAATTTTTATTGAGCATTTTTTAGAAAGAATAAATCAACCCAAAGGAAGGGGGGAAAAGTCACAAAACCTGAGTAGAAGTGAGTAAACAGGCAATTTACAAGTCTCACAGAAATTAAAGTTTTCCAGTATTCCATAAATTAATTGTAAATAACTGAGCATATTGTGTCATTTTAGAAGAATTAGAAATCCCTATTAAGCTGGAAACAGGCTGAAAATATCACTGAACAAAACCAGCACTGTATAAGTCATGACATGAAATTATGAACCATGATAAATCCTACCCATACTCCTAGAAGTCTGTTCTGGTTTAAGAAATCTTATAGAACTGAACTATAAAGAGTTTAGATAAAGAGAAACTCAAGACCCATAGATAGACTTGTCATCTAGAAATGGTATCTGAACTGAGTTAGATCGTGTCTCAGATGAAGACATGACGTCACCTGTATTCCCTTCCAATGGAAGTCATTTTAGACATGGAAGTGTCCTCCCACAATGCTGATACCATTTGGAGGTATTGAGCCCTACTCATGGATGTCCCTGAGTGTACCTGCTTTCTTTAAGCCTCAATTGATTGCAGCCCATCTCTCCCAGCAAAAGGTAACAGAGCTTGGAAAAGATGTGGCTGAGGGAGAGATGAAGCTTAAGAGATCAAGAAGCAAAAGGAATAATTTTGCCCACCTGGTTGAGCCACTTGGGCCACACAACGGTGTCTTTGTCAATGGTGAACTTGATGTCAGTGGATCCATGTCTTTCTAGACTCCCAAACTTCACTTTGATGATGGAATTATTAGGTAACACCATCCAATTCAGAATAACAAAATCACCTGCCCCTGGTCCATTCTTGTCCACATACGCTCCATCAATGGAATGATTGGAAAAGTCCATGTTTTGCAGGAAGAGATGAAGCTAGAATAACAGAGAACAAGACAGCTTTTTTGATGCCTTATTCTGTCAGTTTCATCCTTGAACCTCCCTGAATACAGAGCTCATTTGAATGGTTGCACTTGTGAGGGACAACCCTGTGTTTCGCTTTGTTAGGAGAGAGTCCTGCCGCAGTGCCTGCCCTCTACAATGAGGTTCCCCGAGAGATCTGTGTGGGCATCCTGATGGTATTCTGGAGGGTCTTCCAGACCTGGCTGTTGGAGCTTCTCACTGGGTGTGGTTGTATAAGTTTTTGTGTTGTCAGAGGATTCACCATCTCCTTTTTTTTAGCTTGTTCTTTATTTACCCTATCCTTATCCTATATGGTTGCTAAGAGTCAACGCCAACTAGATGGCACATAAAAATCAGTATTTATGTTGGATTTTGATTTTGTTTGTTATATGGTGTGTCATGCAGAATCGTTCTGGGGTCAGGCAGCATATAAATAGAATAAACAAACAAACAAAGCTTGAATTTCTTGACTTCAGCATTGGATGTTCAGCCATGAAAATATTATCCTTAAAATGAAGAATGTTTGTATGTGTATATAGTCTGCGATACTGGGAAACAGCTTGCGACTATATTAACAATTCTGTTCATCACACCTGAACCACAGACTCATAGAATGGTAAACTTGGAAGAGGCTACATCTAGTCCAACTCCCTGCCATATGCAGGATAACCATTCAAAGTGTCCATGAGAGGAGGCTCTCCAGCCTCTCCTTAGAACCCTCCAGGGATGGAGAACCCACAATCTTCATAGGGAGACTGTTCCACTGTTGTACAGCTCTTGCTGTCAGGCAGTTTTTCCTTATATTTATATGAAATCTAGGTACTTGTAACTTATACTAGGGATTTCTATGTCCTAATAGTCCTAATTTCTATGGCCATGGACTACCTTACCCAAGGATCCCTTTTATGTACCTGAACCCCAATATCAGGTCTCCCATCAATCTTCTTTCCTCCAAACTGAATATCCAAAGGTCTTTCAGCCCAACCTCATAGGGTATGACCTCAAATCCCCAATGTTCATTGTCCTCCTCTGAACCTATTCTGACCTGTCAATATTCTTCTGGAAAAGTGGTACTTAGAATCTTACAGAGTACAATAGAAATTGAGACAGTGCAGAAGAGGGCAGCCAAGATGATCATCTATGGGTCAAACACCTTCCCTATTGGAAAAAGGGTGGAGTATTTGGAAATCTAGCCTGGAAAAATTGATGAGGTGGGAACATGGCTGAAGTGTATAAAATCATTCATGCCATGATGAAAGTGGTCGAGGAGACATTTTTCTCCCTCTCTCCAAACATATCGGAGGTCATTTAAGAAACCTGATTGGAAAGAGTTTTAGAAGAGATTGAAGGAAGTACTTTTTTACACAGCATCTAATCAACCTGTGGACTTCAGTAACATTAGACATGGTGAGGGCCACCAACTGGAATATCATTAAAGGTGGAAGGAATAAGTGCATGGAGGGGACTGGATAAATCCATGGGTTATGAATCTGGATCCACGGCACCATGCCTCCAAATGCTAGTTGCAGGAGAAGACAGCCAGGACTGAGACAGGCATAGTGGTATACAAACAGCTTAGTTTCTGCTAACAGCCTTCATGTTACATATGAAGGAATGCTTGGCTCTATCCTCTTTTTTAGGGAGAAGTCCTATTTCTACCCTCACCCTTCCTACCTTCTTTAGATTTTATAGGAGAAAGAAACTTCTTCAAGCAGTTGATAGCTACACATAGACAAGAATAGATATAGAGAGATGCAGAAGCAATGCCAGATGGGAAACCATAGTCAATCTCCAAGGCGTAGGAAAGAAGCATCAAGTGTTTAAGTAGAAAAGTTGAAGAAGGTGAGGACTTCTGGGGGCAACTATGGTAGACTGAAGATGGCTCTGCTTTTAGTAGAGTCAACAACCATGGCAGAACGAGGAGCTGACAAATGGATCGGCGCCTCGAAATTCCTGTCCAGATAAAGGGGAGGACTTGGGATTGCTCACAGTGCTCCATACAGATGCTCCCCACAATGAGACAGTTAAACAAAGGAGAAGACCCACTAATACAGAATGGAGAAAAGTATTTCAACTCTGGAAGAATTCAAGGATATTTGGCAACAATGAACTCAGAACTTTTTCTTAAGTTTGTCTGCTACTATAAAAATGGGTTTAAAAGAGGAGATAGAAGAAGATACAATTGAGAATCAGGCTGTTTTGGATATGGATTTAAAAATGACAGGCTACAAGAATGATATTGACAAAGATGTTACATAGTACTTACAAATGAAACTGGCTGATGCTTTAATAGCTCAAAACGACACACAAATATTAAATCAGAAGAGTGACCTAGATGTGCAGATTCCAACTCAGAAGAGTGACTTGGACCACTTTCTTATTTTGGACCTTATGAAGGAGTTCCTGAGAAAAGATAAAGAGAGAATGAAAAGAAATCAGCTTTTGGGACATTACTTAAAAGGAA